ATGGGTGCTGACGAGTTGATGGGTGCAGCACACCAACATGGCACAAGTATACATATGTAACAAACCTGCACGTTATGCTCATGTACCCTGGAACTTAAATAAAAAAAATAAAAAAAAATTTTGTGGAAAGTTATTCCTGGCAACAGTGTGAAATAGACTGAATCCATCCAGAGAGTAGGCTTCTGTAATAATCTAAGCAAGAAATGAGGGCCTAGGTTAAAACAATGTCTTTGCTCTCAGGTGTTCAATGGTGTGGAAGGTCAAAAAAAAAGAAAAATGAGATCTGAGATTTCTGAAGAACTGAAAGGCTATAATAACTTAAAGTTTTGTAAAATGGGAGACAAGGAAGATGTTATTATCTTTATCTAATAATTGAAATGAATTTGAGGAAAGACATAATGTGTTCACTTTTGGAAATCTTAAGTTTGAAGTGCCTAGAGACATACACAGTCTCTAATAATCAGTTGGAAATATGAGTATCAAGTTCAGAAGAAGGATCAGGCCCAGTGACACATTTGAGAATCAACAGCATGCAGATGTAGAAGTTGTGGGAGTAGGTAAGATCACATTTAAAAAGCCAGCAGAGAAAAAGAAGGAACAAACACTAGATCCCTAGTGGAATACCAGTAGAGAAAGCAAGAGCAGAGGAAGCCAGAGGAATATTTGGGGAAGTAATAGACAACTACTAAAAAAAAGAATCCTGAAAGCCAAGGAGAAGAAAGCATTCAAGAGTACATGAAGATCCACAGTGTCAAAAGTTCTGGACAGGATGACTAAAATCAAACTATTGAATTTGGTGATTAAAAGTTCAATGAGCTTATAGTTGAAGCAGTGCCATCAGAGAGGCATGGGGAGAAAAGAGAATAATCATGCAATGGAGCAAAGCCTAAAATATAAGTTGAAGAAATAAAAATAGAGTGTAAATCACTCCTAAACCAATTAAAATGAATTTACCCATCACTGAGGGAAGGCTCTGTTCTTTAACAGCACTTGTGTCAACAGTACATTGTTCCAATAGTTGAGCTTCCAACTCTCTGAAATTAAAAAAAAAAATGTTACTGGAATTAAAATATTGAAACTGATATCCTTTTCTTACTTCATAATTTTAACTACATAATAAATTATTATGCTTTTTTTTTTTTTTTGAGACAGAGTCTCACTCTGTCACCCAGGCTGGAGTTAAGTGGCGCAATCCTGGTTCACTGCAACCTCCACCTCCTGGGTTCAAGTGATTCTGCCTCAGCTTCCCGAGTAGCTGGGATTACAGGTACCCGTCACCATGCCCAGCTAATTTTTGTATTTTTAGTAGAGA